CTAATTTTAAAACTGTTTGATTCTTTACTGAACGTAACTAATTTTTCCTGTGTGTCCAATCGTATTATCTTAGCGTGATAAGAAAAAGCTAAGAACAATATCAAAAGTATATAACAAACCGAATGGTAATAAATAATAACTAATAAGCCAATGATGGCCAAATCCTTGAATCATTTAAGAAAAAAAAATAAATGAACTAGTTGTTAGGTGAAAAAATTTACGGGACGTTTCACGTATACAAGCAGAAATGTTAAAAAAATCTTAAGAGAAGAGAAAAATTGAAGTTCGATTGCAAAAGGGAAAATAGGTTGTCGGCTTTTAGAGTTCCGCCCATTTTTGGAAGAGGTCCAAGGATCGTATTGATCCTTTATTGCCACCTAAAATTAGACTTCAAACGGTTCTTTCGTCAAGCAACGACATCGTCGGAAAATGTCTTCGCCGTTCTTGCAAAATAAGGAACGTATTGGAAAATAAGTGACAATGGGGAGGAAATTCACACTTGAACGATTGCTCACGTCCAATTTTGACGGGTCCACAGTTGCAAAATTAATTTCGCAACATCTCACAGAAACATAATTAAATAATAAACTTTATATAAATGTAATTTGTAAGACTCGCATGGCCTCTTAAATTGTCGAATTTATGTTCATTTGATCTGGAACATGTCACGGATCTTTAGTGAACGTAAGAAGCAGAACCTAGAACTCTGAAATCTGACTGAGCAAATAACATCGTTTTACTATTTTAGGTAATTCTGCAAATACTTCTAAAGATTTACAAAAAATAAATCTAGATTAAGCCAAAAAACGACAAAATTAAACTTTAGAGAATAGAATCCTACTGCTACACTGACGGCTCCAAAACCCACAAGGGCACGGGAGCTGAAGTCTTCGGGAAGAACCCAAAGACCGAACTGACGGTAAACCTAGGTAAATATGCTACAGTTTTTCAGTCTGCAATCATGGCGATTGAACACAGCGCCAGGAAAATAAAAATGCTAGGAATACATTTCCGGAGTATAGTCACCTTCTTTGACAGTCAGGAAGCATTAAAGGCCCCTTAGCACTCGAGACATAGAGGCAAAGAAAAGGTTGACATGTTGGTCAAAGAGGAGGCCAACATGGACTCTCTGGGTCCTGAATCCTTCTGTGGCTTAGCATCCTGCCACAAAAGTGGATACAACTTAACATGGTTCCTTAATGATTCCAAAACTTGGTGGAACAATACCAAGAGGTATGAGGCACGCGAAGAGAATCTGTTTCATAGAAGGAACAAAACTATTAAAAGAATTACTTGAAAGCAATCGCAACTGAACCAGGATTCTGGTTGGACCCCTGACACGCCATTGCCACTTAAGAAAGCACAGAAGTACAGACAGATAAAACACAGTGCAGATACTGCCAGGAGGAGGAGGAGGGAACCGCAGAACACATTTTGAAGGTTTGAAGGTCTATGTAGGTGGGTTCTTTCATCTACTACAAGAAAAACCGCAAGCAAGATCATACTCTAAGGCTGGCAAATAACCTGAAGCTGGCCAGTAAGTTATAAAAAACAGGGGAGCACAATAGATCTATCCAGGGCAAGGTGCAGAAGGCCTTGTGGCCGCCTCTTTTATCCCTATCACTAGTGAACAGAATTCGTTGTAAAATACATAATAACCAAAATGACAATAAACGAGAATAGCCGATTTATGTGACAAGGAATAAATGACCCGGTTTACAACGCAACGAAATTTTTGCCTGCTTGCCTCCTAAATGGACAAACTTCTGAAATTGTTCTGTTGTTCAACTTCATTACAAAAAAGATATGACCTACAGGCAGATAGAGGAGAAGCGTTCAAGAACAGAAAAAGTTAGAACAGAATTACACAGAAAAGAATTAGAATTTCGAAAATGGGATCTTGTGTATATATTAAATAGTAGTAGATTAAATAGGAAAAAATTAGATGAAATTAGAAGAGGACGATTTATTATAAATAAAAGAATTTGGAAACCAATGTATGAAGTCAAAACTATTAAGGAACATAATGAAGCATATTGGTTCCATAGTACAAAATTAGTTCCTTACTCTTTTTCCTGAAAAAAGAGTAATCGACCAATGTAATTTGTAAGCTCCCATGGCCTCCTAAATTGTTGAATTTATGTTCATTTGTTTTGGAACATGTGATGGATCTTTAGTGAACTCTGAAATATCGATATTTTCTGTTATTCAATTCTATAACAGCAAACATATTTTCTAACCTAAAACATTAGGTATGGCTTTATTTTAATATTTCTTCGGGATGCTCTCATTGTACACAATTATGTGATTAATTAAATACTATTGTTTTAGCAATCGTTTAACGTTATTCACACTTCAGAGGTACATAACTATATCAAACAAACATGTACCTGTACAACGGCTATATTTCAAGGGTTTGGTTACATAAATAGTCATAGTGTGTATATGTGTTTGTGTTTATGTAAATGTTTTCACTGAAATATTAAAGAAATTGTATTCCGATTGTATTCCCCTTCCGATATTCTCGCGTTGTGTATTATTTTGTTTTCTCAAATTTCGGTAAAATGAAAGAACCAGGTCAAATACCACCAAGAAAAATATGCGTGGAATATCGTGGGGACAGGGTTTTCGCGTGTGTGCCAAAGAGGTTATTTGCTAAATTTAGCCAAGTAAATTTTTATTCCTGAAACCGTATTTCTGTCTGAACTTCCCTTTCGGTTTTTATTAAGAACAAATCTAAACGAATTTGTATTTGTTGCCATAACAATAAAGTTCTACGAGGCTAATGAAAAAGCTATTTTTAAAAGCTACCTTAAAATCTCAATCGGTATTTTTTTTAGTTTACTCAAATTGTTGAAAAATGTTTTTAAACTATAGATTAAAAAACCGACGTGGATCGAAGAAAGGACGATATTATGCTTCTCTAGTAAATTAGTTAGTCGTACGTGAGAAATAATCTTAACATATACACCCCCATGTATTATGTTGTAGTGAGCGTCTTATTTTCTCGTCTAGAAGATTCAAAAGGCAGACAATAAAAGGGAAATAAACAATTCAAAAAGTTAAGGCGAGACAGAGGAGCCAGGGAGGCTGATTAACAATATTTACGACACACGAGCACATTCGGGCACCTCGAACCGAAATCTAATTCAAACAGTGACAAGATCCGACTGGCAACTTGCCGAATTTAAACTGTGTGCAACTGTCATTGTTTACGGTAATAGGCAAATAGATTTCAATGAAAACTGAGCATCCCTGGTATTCAAAACAGAGCGGTAAATCAGGGCTAAGGTGTCCCCCCCCCCAAGATATTAAGCAGCGAAAATTGGGTTGGCGTATTTTGAAGCCGCGCGTCCAAAAAAAAATTCTCCTCGATTCGTTGCCAAACGACGACGCGTGATTGATTGAGAATTAATACAATGCACGTGCTACAATAATAATAATAATATGTAATTCCCATTTATATGGAAGGATCCAAATTCGTCATTTATTTAAACGCCAATGCCGAAACGAGTCTGACAGGACAAACCAGTGAGTACAAGAGTACTCAGGCTGACCAAAAACCGAACTACAAGTTCTACCACACGTCAACTCAAAATATTATTATCAAGAACAATATTACAGGAGTACACGTCAGTATATCTATCTGCAAGAAGTCAAAGTTGAGAGTTGTGGAAATAGAGTTTCCTATGTCCATTATGGAGTGGCAAGTTTGAACAATCCTTAGTGTTGAAAGTAAGCCGTGCTAATTGGATTGGACGTGCAGGTCTTCACCCTTTCAACTTTGACAAAGCAGTCATCTTGTTAGTGCTATTCCTGTAACATGAAAATGCTCAAAAAGCATTTCTCACTTCAGACTTGCTTCCTCATTCGCTTAATTATACATGTACCTCTGAAGCTTTTTTGTATGTTGTAACTTCCATGAAACATAATGTATATTTGTAGGAATGATGAGGTATTAATATGAATTGGGGCAAAACCAGCACGACATGCCTCTACCAGTTGGGTGTCAAGCCTATTTTCCAAATAGTAAATCAAATATCATCGTACAAATGCTATCTAAATCTCGAATGACACAGTTTCCTGTATTTCTTGATAATGTAAAATTCAAATAACCATGTCCTTAACTGCCGAATTTCTTTTCCTCCACAGGTGCTCGAGAAAAAACCAAGGAACTAAGAGATTTCCCACAAAGCATGATTCAATTTACATATATGAGAAATTGTAAGTAAATAGGATTTATGGAACGAGTTTGTCTTTACCCGGAAGAGACGATTGCAGTGATTCTCCTCTATGTTTGTGGGTGGGATGTGTGCTGTAGAGAAAATTCTCCTACTTCCGCCAAACCTACCAGTGGAATTACTTTACAGTTGTTATTACAATGGGTTAAAAATAAGAGTGCATGAAAACATCATGAAATTCTTATTTGATTTTTTTGTTTAATCCATTTATATTCGCGATTGGTTAAAAAAGAAAAAGGGCTACGTGCGAAGGTGAGATTGGAAGAATCTCAAGAAGCATGTCGTGTCAACATGTGCGTGTTACAACTACTCCGCTGAATGTTGCTATTGTGTTGCAGATGTGCTGCAATTTTAGGTTTCAGCATGTTTGATATCTATCTATCTCCTCTTATACTCAGCAACACGATATGTTAACGCAGAAATGAAATAAGTTAATGTCTTGCCTCGAACTGCTTATAATATGATGGCTTTGGTGAAGACATTTGTATCATGGTCGACGATACTGAATTACTCGCGAAATCAGTCAGTTTCTTCCCTCGACATGTTTCTACCCTTGATCAAGTGAAAATAGGGCAGCTGACGGAATATGAGAAATTAAAGGTAAAGGGTTAGATTTTTTTGATTCAGACAATTTAATAATTGATCAGAAACGGAATAATTTGTTTCACGTCAATCCCACGTCTCGGTGCTTTTTTTACCCCCGGGGAAACTGGCCAAAGCCACATTGGAAACTTTAAACAGAATTTATGTTTCTCTTACCTGGAATGGAAATCAAACTCAGCCGTGTCACGCGCCCGCACTCGTTCAATTTCCTGGCCGCTTTACAACTTCTTCAATACATAAGCTCTTTCACCTACCAAAACAATTTTCTAATAAATATACGCCCAGGAAAAAGAGGATATTTAAACTTGAATTACATGCATTAATTAAAATAAAAATTTTAGAACTAGACCTTTCAGAAATCGAAACGCGGTTGTAAACAGTTAATGTTTTTTTGAAATGTCTTGTGCTTAAATATCTAACAAACCAGCAACCCGGTTAAATAAACTTGAGCATTATAAATACCCGAAATTCCGAAAACTTTTGAGTTAGTAGGAAAAAATACTATTTAATCTGAAGTATGTATATATTTTCTTCAAATAAAAGCCATATGTCAATCGAAACGGAAAAATAGTTGGACTTTTCTTTCTTCCCAGTTTTGGTTTTTCAGATTTTATTTAAATTCTTCAGGATCAAAAAACAAAGGAAACTACGAAATTGGCTTAAATGAAAGGAGAACAGTGCTTATAAACCCCGAATAAGGTGCCAAGAGAGAAAAGAAAGGAAATGTGGGATTTTTAGATCAATTCAAATGAGAAAAATCTTCGCTTCCTTCTCCCCAGTTATACCAATAACTTTTGGGATGTTATTCAGATTTTTCAGGATCAAAACTACACAGGATATGTAAAATGCTATGTTCACGCAGGCAAAATTTGCAGACATGGAAGGAGCCAGTATATTTCCTCACCGTCCTTATTTCCCCGAGTAAGTGCGAAGGCGTCAGCAAACCAAATATGAGCAATTGAAGGGGAAGGTGAGATTTTTTAGCTCAATGCAAATGGAAAAAATGTACCCTTCTTTCTTTCCAGTTATTGGTTTATCAGAGTGAGTTAGGTTTCCTGGAATCAAGAGAAGAATAAAGGATACGTGAGAATGTTATGGTAACAGGCGAAATTGGCTAAAATTGAAGGTGCCAGTGTGCCTCGACATGCTTTTGTATGACAAAACATGAGCAATTGAAGATGGAGCGTTAGATTGTTTTAATTTACACAATTGAATGATGATCGATTACGCTAAATGTTTAAAAGTGTAAATTACTATTATCAGATAGAAAGAAATCGGGGTTTTGCCTCGACCCGCTTATAACCGCGATTAAGTGCTAAAGCGCCAGCTGACAAAATATGAGCAATTGAAGATGAACAGGTCAGATCAATCCAAACGGAAAAATTATTCTCCTCTTTTTTCGAAAACTTTTAAACAAAGGATACATCCAAATGTTAATTGGCATTTATGAAAGGACCCAGTACACTTCACGTACTTCACCCTGTTTATATCCTGGCTAAGATAGCGTCATCTGGCAAAATACGTACAGTTGAAGATGAAGGGCAGATTGTTCAGATAATCCAAACGGAAAAATAATTCTACGCTAATAATTCTTTCAAAACTTCTTTATGTTAAAAGAACGTTAATGTTATGTATTAATACAGGCAAACGAAAGGATTCAGTGAGCTGCATCACCCTGTTTATATTCCTGACTCTATAAACTATTAAAGCTGAAGGGTTACAGAATTATTTTTCACTTCTTTCATTTTTCAAGCGTTCTCAAAAGGGTCGCTAGAAGGCTCGAGGAAAATTATGTTTGTTAAAAGGCCATAGAATTCCCACGTTACACGAGTATGTCCTACATTGTTTGATTTAAATTAGAACACGATTAGAAATTAATCTAAATATATTTGCAACCAATATATATATATATATATATAGAGAGAGAGAGAGAGAGAGAGAGAGAGAGAGAGAGAGAGTTTTATAATATATAAAGAAAGTTTAAAGTATAGAGTTATTATTGTATTGCTATAATACTACGGGAAGGTTTATAAAATTAAAATAAAATATAACAACAGCATAATAAAAATGAAAATTAAATAAAAAATCGCGGTATTTTCTCCTGTCAAATGCTTGATTAAAAGCTTCAGTTAGTGTTTATTGCATTTCTGGATAATGATGGCCATGATATTGAAAACAAAAGTTTGCAACTTTGTGTTTTCAAAATTTTCCATTGTCAAAATTCGTCTAATTTAAAGAAAACTATAGTTATCTTGAATACCTATTTGTTTTACAAGATCGATTACCTAATGAAACACAAGAATTTCTTTCTGGTAAAAAAAAAATTGTTCAGGCAAAGCAAGAATATACCAAAGTAGTTAATCCGCAATAAAAATTGTACCGTGCGAAAGCAGAGGTTGCCAAACTCAATTTCTGGCATTGGACCCAGTTCAATTAATCCTCTTGTCGAACTAAATCATTATGGTTAAAGAAACCAAATCGGCGTTAAATAATCCACGCAATAGATACGCTTCGCTAGGTTCCAGCAAGATTTACTGTTTGAACCAAAAAAAAAACTGCGGCTCCAGCTATAAATCCAAATCAAATCAATAAATCATAGCGACTCTAAACAAATGCAAATGTTACTTGAGTCAGACTGGCATACATAGAAAATTTGATACTCAGTCAAACCTTAGAAGTCTAATAGTACGAAATAAATTATTTCTTCGATTTATTTATGTTATAAAAGGTGTTTTTAATCATGATCATGACATAGTCATCGCAGCTATGTTTGCGTGTGTGTAAGTATGTGTGTGTACGTAGCATTGGGTTGTTTCACATGAAATGTCCGATTTTATATATTCAGAAATTCAGAGAGAATTGAGCGGTTTTCTGTTGTTTACTTCCAATTGGTACATATTATAATTAAGCAGTTATTAATTCCCACTTTTGTTTGTAATGATGAGCTCCCCATTCCATTGCACACTTTTAGTTTACCTTCAAATATGAACATGGAAACACGCGATTTTCGTGTAATTTCCTTTAAGAGTTTAAACTAAGTCATTCGGTAGCTGAGGCTGCAAGAAACATCAGTAAGGCGTTTGGGGAAGGGAGTGTAATGAACGGACCGTTGGTTTGCTAAGTTTTCGGAAGGGAATACCGAATTGAAAAACGAGTCCCGCGGAAGACCTCCAACTTTAATTGACAACATTGTCCTTAAGCTTCAGGTGGAGGAAAACCACTATCAAACAATCAGAAGACTTGCAGCACAACTAAATGCAAGTGCAGTTACCGTGTCAAGACTATTAAGGAACATAGGAAAAATAAATAAAAAATTGATCTATGGGAGCCTTATGAGATCACTGAGCGAAAGCAGTAAAAGCGCCTTGAGACATTCGTTGCTCGCCAGGCAAAAACCGAGGCTTTTCTTGAAGTTATATTCATTTGCGATGAAAAATGGATTGCATATGATAAGCACCGTCGGTCAGGGCGGGGGTTAAACATCGACGAATTTACTTACACCCCGAAACATTGGTGGACTATGGCTGGAATTATTCACTATCCATTTTTGCCTAAAGGTGATACCATTACCTCTATATCATACTGCAAGGAAATTGACGAAATGCATAAAACTTAACCAAAAAAAAAAACCTGCATTGGTAAATCGGAAAGACCCTATACTCCTCCACGACAACGCCACACCTCAAGTTTCAAAACATTCTGTAAACACATTGAAAGAGCATGGCTTTTAACTTGGCTAAGTTCTTCAGCATCCACCGTGTTCTCCAGACTTGTCTCAACACATTTTCGCCCGTTTAAGAATTTATACACCTTCGTCAAAGGAAACGTTTTTGAACTTCAGATGTTTCATTTCAAAGCTCAGACTTCTTCAGTTCCCACATAAAAAAGTTGGTCACGCGTTGGGAAAAATGTGTAGAAAATGAAAATAAATACTTCGAATAAAATGATTTTGTTTTTATATAGTAATTTTCCTACAAAAACCCTTTACCTTGGAAACGGACATTTCATGAGAAACAACCCAACAGGATCATACAGTGATAAAATACTTACCTAATTGTTTATTAATTTTATTAATTTAGATATAAATGAAAATTATTTTGCTATTTTTTATCGGTTTTAACAAATTCTTTGCTCAAAATAGTTGGTAGAGCCACCGATACACAGTAGGATTTTAATTGTCCAATTAAGCCCTTGCTTATACGTTTGTTACAAAATTGTCCGGGGAAAAAATTGCAGCATCCACTCTAATGAACGGGTCCAAAAGGATTAGGATTATGACATCAAAGGCTTTTAAATGCTCTTATTAAAGGACTAAAGTATAAATCTTGAAAGTGAGTCTCGGCAGAGGAACGCTGACCCGTGTCGAGTTCATGGGTCCCCGGGGGCCGTTTCAGCACAGCCCCCCTCGGTATCGAGCGACCCCGAAACATCATCGTCGGATTTAATATTGAAATTCCGCCTGTTAAAAAGGAAATTGATGATTCTCCAGAGCCGCCTGTTATAATTAATCATTCTTCTGTTACTTCTCCAAATTCGGACAGGGTGTTGATGAATGGCCGAGGGGTAGTTACCGGTAAAATCGTATTCGATTACCGAGGATCGTTTTCTGCCGGTGTATCAACCGAACAGAATGTTTCCAGCCGGCTAAATCGGAATCTCTTCAAAACACACTCACAGGACAATAAATGGGCCATCGGTGTGTGTGCAATGACTTGCAAATGGGTCACTCTTCCACTAGATAGTTTATATTCACGTTAACAGACCTTTATTGCACCCCGAATAGGTTTCCTCGTGGTAAATAAATTCCACCCTTGATAAAACCATTATTTTCCTCATGAACCAGATATTTGTAAACCTTTCCCTTCACTCCATTTGATTTCAATTTTTTTTTTAACTTAATTGTTTTTAAAGAGAGTTTATAGTTGAGTTGGAAAAGCTACAGTACTCATAACATAATTAAGTGGGTAGATGATCTAAGTTATAGCCCATCAACTACCCTATACCAGATTATTTTCAATATAAATCAAATATTTTACGATTGAACAAATAATAATTACTAAGTAAAATTACTATCCGTTTCAATAAATTGTTATGGCGAAAACAAAATAAGGTTACTTATCAATTTGGTATTCCATGCCTCACCTTGTTTATAACTCTGAAAAACTAGTCTTCCAGAAGAATATTTAAAAAGTGACCTAAGTTCGAACTAACCTCCAACGCTCTCAAAAGCTGTTTTTTTCCCAAAGAAGA